ATAAATACTTGGGATGAACATAACGGGGCATTAGAGGGGCTAAAACGGAAATCGAATCAAAGTTTTATACGGCCAAAGCACGCAGTTTCCCATCTCCTAACCCAAACAAAAAAATAAAAACCAAAGGGTTCAGGTTCGGCAAGTTAACACTTTATAAAGTGCAGCCGTAGGGCTGGGACAAACAACATCCAAGAAAATAAAAAAAAAAATGTTGTATAAAAACCCAGAAGAAAAAGTTTTTGTGCATGTAAATAGGCTGGCCCCGAAATTTGAGTAAGCAAAGTAAATGAAGTAGAAACGAGCTGAGTAACAGAAGAAGGCGAAAACACTGAGGAACTGCCCGAAAATGTTAATTACTTCCTTGTTTATTTAAACCGAGCGAGTGGAAGCGAGAGAGGTATACAAAGCGAAAGAGACAGAGCGTCTGCACGTGTGTACTCAAAAACTCTACTCGTATTTGTGTACTTCAGAACGCCTTCGGCAGAGCGAACTAGGATAATGAGCTGCAGTGTCGGATAATCAAAGGGGCCATGGGATTATCTTTCAGGATCACACACCTTTTCAGCATTAAAATCTCATTTGGAGGCCCTTTTAGTTTGGCTTTCAAATTATATAACTATTCTGAAACGAAAGGTAAACACGTGTGCTGATATTATCCATTCAAAATATTTTGGTTCTATCATTGAGTTCATAATATAAGTATTAGCCGAGAATATTTCTTGATTAACAAATATATATTTATTTCATAATTTAGTTGGGTAAATACCGATTAAAACCGAATGAATTGACAATTTAGATATAAGTTAAAAATACACGCATATATCATATATCCCTTTTTTATCGCAACCTTTAAAAACCAAAAAATAACAGAACTCAACTGATAAATCAGACCGAAATAAAGGGCTTTACTTTAAGAAAGACAATGAATAGAAATGATTTTGTTGAAAAAAATAATTCATAGCATTGCACTTCATTTTAATAGAGATTAAGTAAGTTAAACACACAGTAATGTTCCCTGGGCGGACTTAGAGCCATAGTTTTTTGTCATTGCCTTTGCGTAGTGATTAAATAATACTCCCTCAGCGAGTACCTCGTAGTCCCATCGTTATTATCCTTTCCCCGAACTAAGCCTCTTGCTGCTCGTGTTGATTGCAGTCGATTACAAAGCACTTGAGTGTAACTCTCCAGAGCGTTGACTCGTCTTCTTCCATTCTTCCATCGAGTCTGCCTTCCACTTCCACTTCACCCTTTGTCAGCCGGCATGAGTACGTGGGTCCATCATTAAACTTTAGCTAAAGTCAAACAGAATTAAGAAAGCTGTGCTATGTTCGAGTGCTCTGGGCCACTTGGAACTAAGTAAAGCGAATTAAAAAGCACACGCTCAAGTTGCCAACGCACAGAAGTAGGAAAGGAATGACGGCGCCGATAAACATGTAAATGGAAGAATATCCAGGGCAAGGATTGCCAGCCAGGATAATGCGATGGCAGTGAAACTGGAGCGAAGCCAGGGTCTTTAAGGACACGGCCATCGTTGGCAAGAGAGCGTGTGTGCGGTCAGTGGTAAAGATTATCGATCGGTGATTTTTTTCAATTGAATTGTCTTCAATCTTATTGGTCGTGACCAAGTCGTTGCTTTTTATATGCCCTCTTCCCGGCCATCGTGTCCTTAGTATCCTGCCATGGCTGGCTTTGCTTTGTTTGCGTTTTTCTCTACTGCAACTCCGGCCAAGTCCTTCGGCACTTGCTCACGAAATTTAATAAGCACAGGACATGTTTGGTGTCGTTGCGTGCGAGGCGTCCATCAGCCAAAGCCAGCCGGCTCATTAAACCGGTTTTTCCAGCTCGATTTTCCCCGGCCAACGAAGCTCTCTGACTTTAAAGCTTTTCGCCTCTTGGCCTGATATTGATTTTTGTGTGGGACCCCAGGCAGTATCTATCGCTCTCCCTGAGCAAGATAAATAGTTCCGGCCGAGTGTCTCATAACGAGGGATCTCAGACACTCGCAAAACCCTTGACTAAATCCAACACCGGGGCAGAGGAAAAACAATTAAAAAAGGTAACCCTAAACGGCAAGTGGAACTGGGCCATAATTTGTAATTGTTTGAACCCACGCCAAGGCAGACAATATGGCCCAGAAACAACAACAACAATAACAAAAGCAGGACACAAGTGTAACAGTATTTTTCATTGTTGTTTCGTAAAACAACAAACAGAAATTAAAACACATGTGCACGAGCACACAAACAAACCGAAGCACACATGCAAAATACATACAGCCAGCGAGTGTGACTCCTTTGGGGTATTTTCTTTTCGGTGGAGTAAATGAACCCAGCAAGCCAAAACAAATAATTACGCCCAGCAAGAACAACAACAATGCGGCACACCAGCCAGGATAAAGCATAAATGTCGTCTGCTGTCCTTGCAGTCCTTTCCGTCCTGCTTTTTCCCCCCAACCCCCTTCTCTGGATCCCCGCCATGTTGAATAAACGCTGACAATGGACGTGAAATTATGACAAACTCACATATACGCATATATATATTTGGGGCTATATATTCTTACAGCTGCTGAAGCAATTCATTTGTTGGCACTTGTGACATTTGCGTTCTGGCCGCATTATAGAGCTTATTATAAATACAGGCAAAAAGTTGGCTTAGTCCCAAATAGAAGATGAAAAAGGTTAATTATGATTACAGAAGCCAGAACTTTAAATGTTTAGGGGTGAATTGCATCATGTGGTTTCCAAGGCATCAAACCAATTGGCCATGTAATTCATCTTAATTTTTCCCGAAATTTCGTCATCGTGTCATAACAAAAACATTGCTCAATTTGGGCATATATAATTAAAGGTGACTTACGGATGTTTTTTCTTCTAATAAAACAACAATAAAATATGTGAGCAAAGCCCACGCAAAAACTTCAATCATTGTCTGGCCCAAATTGATTTTCCCCGAAGTAAAAGTAAGTAAGCAAAGGTATAAAATAAGAAATAAAAGCCAGGAGGCACTTTGATTTGCAAGCTGTCAGAATGAACTTATCACCTTGGCGTCGTTGTTTATCGGCTAGAAAATGAAAACTGCCGTCTTTTTAATATATATACATATATACATTGGTGTACGGAAATGCCTGACCAAGCATTTCGTTTCAATTTTCCCGCTGCTCGCACAGATTTATTTGCCTATTTCTGTGCGCTCTACCGACGAAAACGTGACGAAAAGCGTTTTCCCAGTTTCCCCCACAAAATATAGGTATATGTATGTATGTATATGTATCTGTATAGAAAAAACGACTGAATATCTGACTGAAACCTGACATTGAGGAAATCTGAATGACTGGCCCACATTTGACTCTGCAAACTTTTGCCCGGCAAAGGCAAACATTTTGCTGGACCTTTTTTATTGCATTTAAATAATTTGATTGCAAGTGTAGGGTCTGTGTAGGGTCCAAAGCATTTAAACTTGCCCCTGAACTGGGGCCCTTCATCGGGAAACAGTTTTCAATTCAATTTAATTCACTTTGTGCCTTCCTAACTCTCGCTTTTTCTGTATGTTTCTGGGTGGCCGTCTGATACTTTTTTATTTAATTTTTTCTGCACTCTCTTTTATTTCTTACAGCATAAAAATTTATTATCATAATAAGCGAGCAAAGGCCGATGAATCCTATATATTTTTTTTACCTCCCCCAATGCCACGTATGTGTGGCGGCAGCAACCCTCGATGTTTTTTACGACTGTTTTGTTTTTGTTTCTGTTTTGATGGAAATTCGATATTTGCAACACGTATTGAATTTTGATCAGGCTATATGAAATATATTTTTGTGCCAGTCTTTGGCCTTAACTTCCTCGACCCGACAAGAGCATTGATTTAAAGAGCTGGCTATTGATTTTACTGGAAATGCCCCAGAAAAGCGGAGAGAAATCCTCCCCGGAGAAAAAGGCCACTCGACAGCAGATGCGTATCTGCAAACAATTAAGAAATTGTTAAATGAAATTTCTCAAAAATTCCTCAACTAGTGCTTCGCCCCCCCCCAGATTGCTTCCGATTTTTCCCACCAACCCCCAATGCTTTTCCGTTTCACTAGTATCCCAGATACACAAGTGTGGCATTGTTTCTTTTCCTGGGTTTGTAATTCTATTAGTTACAAGTTGTGCAGTGCGAAGAAGCTTTTCTGTGTGGGGGCCAGGGGCCTCAATGAAAGCAAATTAAAAAACTTTGCAATTGCAGTTGCAAGCGGGTCTCCCCTTTTCTGGCTTTTAAAACGTTTTCCCTCAGCTTTTTGCCGGAATGTATGGCAATCGAAATCGACTGTAGTTGATGTGAGAAATTGAGATAGTGGAGAATGGAGAACGGAGGAGCTCCTCGATTTGTTTCACCACTATTTACATCTGCAGACCCAACTCTTTTGGCCCTTGAGCTCGACTTGGCCTGGCATAAATGCCAAAAGCGTCATAGAAATCCACTCCAGACGCGTATAATGCTCGACTAGGTACGAGTGAGTTTCTGTTACCCTTCAAATGGAAACAGCCATCATTTAACCGCCAGACAGATAGACAGTCGGGGAAGTATGCCCGGAGTGGAGGCGCTATGGAGGATGATGATGGACCTAAAACTGGATGGAAAAAGGGGGGTGATTTGTATGGTACTTGCGTCTCTGCAGCACCGCTGTGCATTTGTATGTCGGTTTATACATATATATACCACACAGTGTATACTGTATAGAAAAACAAAAAATGATTTATCACTCTGGCTTTCGGCTTGTATCCGAGCTACGTTTGTCCGTTGACTTTGACGGGCCGCCGACCAATCTCCATCCCCCTTCCCCCCTCCACCAACGACGCCCCTGACAATGCGTGAGGATTACAAAACAGCAACTCATGTGCATGATGAATTAAATTAGCAAAAAGCCAGCTGGAAATGGAATCCCACTGCCCGCAAACCATTATCGACACAATTTTTGGTTGGTTTTGTTTTAAAAAAGTTGTTCATTTCATTTGCATTGTTCGCTGGCGAAACAGAAAAATATCTTTGTTTGTTGTTTGTCGTAATCGTACATAGATTTAAATGTATATAGTATATAAATAGTTGTATTCACAAAATTGAATTATCCATAGGTTATACATTATCGTAGAACTGCATTAGAACTAAACTTAGGGCTGATCTTCGTATATTACAAAATGATAAAAATAAATAACAGTTTTGGGCTTTCATACTGGTACAAGTGTCTTATGTGAGAGGGGAGGGGGGTTTTTCATCCAACCCCCCCTCCCAATGTTTTGTATCTCGATAGTTTCGAACTGATTTGCTTAATTAATGACGAGTAGGCGAGTGTGCTGAAATAAATGCTCTCTCTTCGTACGTTCTATAGGCAGTTGTTAAACATTTACTCGTATAATATATGCGTAGATATACGTACTTTGCGGGCCTATATATATATATATATGGTACCTCATACATAGTAGTTCTTTAATATCAGTAGTTTGCTTTACTTTACACAGTCACGTACATGCAGACACGCACATTGATATATCCATGAATATACGTATGTACTATATATATATAATTAGCTATGCATATTGTGTATGCGCCGCGCCAGTTTTGCGAAACTTTTATTACAATTATCGTTAGTTTGGTAAGCGTAAGTGTTTAAAATGAGCTTTACTGTTTCGGCTTTTGTTTACCGCCCATCTGCATATTATTATGATGTGGAGTTAGCCACGGAAAATCTTTCCGGGGCCCTCGGTTTGCTAGCTAATTATTTATGCTTTTTACATACAGATTACTTGACAAATGCATTTATCGATTTTACGGCTCGCTGTGGCTGCGGCATACAATTTACATGTGTACTTGAATGTGATTATTGAATTATCCCCATACGGTTACGATACGGTTGCATCTGTATCTATATAAAGGTGTATGTGGTGTGTATATATCTATGTTTGGGCAGTAAATACGGTATTGAGAGCTATTTACAAATTGATGCAGGAGATGCGTGGATACATGGGCAGCTGAGGCTGAGACCTATACCGGATTAATGGCAATTATCAAGTCAATTATTGAACAATCAAATTGGGGCACACAAGTGCAGTCATAAGCTTGGCCTCTTCGAAACTTCACCGCAACTCGGGGAATCTTTATAGTCGAGGTTCTAGAGTCCAACTGATTAAAACCATATTAAAAAGTTATCACAAATTCCCCCCTCGGGCAATTCTCGGCTAAGCAAATGCCAGGAGATGAACAAGTTCGTGTGCTCATGTGAGGGAGAAAACTAAGTTTTGCTGTGGTAAAGTTTGGATGGAAACTTTGAAATGGCATTGTGTAGTTTGTAGCATCCCTGTTCACTTTCTCCCCCTTGGATACACACACTTGACATGACCAAGGCCCTCGTCATTCATTCTGCTGCCCCAACTGCATCTGTATCTTGTGTCTTGTATCTTGTATCTTTGTCTTGTTTGTATGTGTGTGTGCTCTTTTCCTGGGGCTGTGTTGGTTTAGTGCATCTAAAATGACTTTACACTGGATAAACAAAATAATATACGTTAAAATCTGTCTGTCTATTTGCTGCTTCCGCATCTCTATCTTTGTTTTCCCCTCCCTTAGCTTAACTCGCACATATTTTAGTAATTAAAATTATGCACAGGAACCAGTCCCTAAAGAAATCACTGTCACTTTGCCCCCTTTTACACCAGATACGCCTGGACATGAGGTCCCTGCTGTTGTCCGGATACGGCTGTCTGATTTAGCTGTTGCTGCTGTAGCTGTTGCTGCTGTAGCTGTTGCTGCTGTAGCTGTTGCTGTTGTAGCTGTTGCTGCTGTTGCTGTTGCTGCTGCTGCTGCAGTTGCTGCTGTTGCGCCTTGGAGCCCAGTGTTCCGGCCTGGGCCTGCTGATGATGCAGCTGCTCCCGCTTGGGCCGCCATGTCTGAGCCCGCTGGGCCGCCTCCATGCCAATGCCCGCTGGCATCATCAGCATGTGCTGCTCGTTATCCAGAGTCGAATAGTCCGAGTCGATGCTGGAGTATATGTGCTCCGAGGGCGGCCGCATCCCATGGTGTTGGTAGTACTGGGCGTGCAGGTGATGGTTCCCGGATCCCGAAACCGAAACCGATCCCGATCCGGATCCGGATACCTGCTGCTCACCCCGCCTCTGGGGTCTTGGGCTGGGCGTGGCCGTGGTGGCCGTGGAGTAGTTCTGCTCTGCGGGAACAGAGGCAGTCACAGCTGGGGATTGGACCTGGGCAGGACCTACAATGCCATCCGCCGGGCCGCAGTAGGCGGGGGGCGGGGCCTGGCGGTAGAGCAGGCCGGGACTGGCCGGCTGCTTCACCCGCTCGTGGTTGTGGTGGTCCAGCTCCAGCGTGTAGTTGTTGCCCCGAAATGTGGGATAGTCCACGGGCAGGGCGTAGCGCAGTTTCTCCCAGAAGTGGCGATCCGAGCGTCGGATGCGATGAACAGCCGATGTCTTAAGATAGGGCAGCAGTTCTATATCGCTCTCCGCCTCGAAGGCCACCTCGGGCTCCTCGATGATGACCAGTTTCTGGGGCCTGCCACGCAAGGCATCGTGAACGGAACGCCTTAACTCACAGCGGGCCCACTCCGTCTGAAGGAAGTTGCGGGTCAGCAGGATGACCACTCGTCGCGAAACCCTCGTGGCCTCCAGCAGCTGATAGTGGGTGGCATCGTGGGCCAGATCCCGATGCTGCAGGCAGACCCTTAGCGGGGGTCTTCCCGTTTCCAGCTGGGCGGCCAAGTGCTGGCACACGAACTCCGAATCCTTGGCGGAGTGCAGGAGCACGGCGTCGTACAGCTTCTCCGACTCCTCGCAACGTGGTCCAAACACACGGACGCCGTAGTGGGCGAACAGCCAGATCCTCAAGGATTCCCGGAAGGCAAAGACCATGGCTATGACCACCAGCAGGAAGACGAGAGCCAGTGCAGCAGCCAACAGAGGGATGTACGATTCAGGAATGCCATGCTGCAACATCGAACCACCGGAGTAGTAATCCGTGCAGGCAGCTCCAGTGGCATTGAAGTCCAGCTCCCGCTTCTCCAGAGATCCAGCACTCGAGGAGCTATCCTCCAGATCCCCAGATCCACCGGCTCCCGAACTGGCGGCCATGCAGTAGATATCCTGGGCATCCTGGACAATCAGGGCATTATCCGCCACGTAGGCGGTGAGGGCCTGCAGGAATTGGCACCTGCAGCTCCATTGATTCCTGCCCAAGCTAATGGATCGCAATCCCGGGCCGAAATGGAGGGCGTGCATCTGCCAAATGGGCAGGGTGACCAGTCGGTTTCCATCGATGCGGATCAGCTCCAAGGCCGCCAAGGGAGCAAGTGTGGCATTTTCAATGGTGGTCAGTTGGTTATTCTGCAAATACAACTCCCTCAGCGATGAAAGCTGCTCGAATTCGTAGCCATGGAGCGAACGCAACTTGTTGTCGGCCAAATGGAGCAACTGCAGCGAGGCCAGACTGGCGAAGGTGCGATTCTGGATGGCCGCCACCTGGCTGCCATTCACGTACAGAGCCCGCAGGTTCTTCCTGCCGATAAATGCATGGTTCTTTAGCACCGGGAAATTATTGCCATCCAGATAGACCACACTCGAGTCCATGGGAACGCGACGAGGCAGCTCGGTGGTCTGCTGGCCACCACAGTCGACCACATTGGTGGACCAGATCTGGTCGTGGTAGCAGGTGCAGTTGCTGGGACAGGTCATCTCGCAGTCGCAGGCATCGAAGTCGCAGCAGTGACAGAGGGCAAAGCAATGCGACTCGTAGCGACAGAGGAAGTCCTGCGGACGAAGGCCACTCAGAGGACGCACTGCAGCGCCACGGGCATGTGGCATCACGCACTCGATGTTGGCCATGTCCATCACTCTGGGATGCTGCCGGGTGGTCAGATTGTTAATCCTCAGCAGCCAGTCCATGGTGCAGTCGCACTCGAAGGGATTGCCGCCCAGGTAAAACTCAGGCAACGGCTTGGGCGAAACCACTGGGGCCACTCGCAATTGCTGCAGCAGCATTTTACTCAGCTGATTGGCATACAGATCCACTCGGGCCAGATTTGCCTTATCCACAAACGCATTGGGCTGCACATTGCCAATTAGATTATTGTTGATAAACAACAGCTCAATTGTGTTCGGTATGGACATCGGTCCGATTTCCGTGATGCGATTGTGCGAGGCATCCAGGGTCTTCACTCGAATCTCCTCCTGCAGTTTGTAGTAGTTACCCAGTGCCTCGATGTAGTTTCCATGGATATCCAGCCACTTTAGGTTCGAGGGAATAAAGGCGTAATCGAACCACACCAAGTGATTCTCGGAGAGATTAAGCCACAGCAGGGAGACCAGAGTGGCGAAAACTCCATTAATGTCCGAAAGGAAGTTCCTGTCCAGCCGAATGGCCTCCAGCTCGAAGTTTTTGTCGAAGGAACCCCGTTCGATGCTCTGGATGCGGTTCTTGGCCAAGTTCAAAACACTCAAACGTGGCAAGTCCTGGAACATGCCCACAGTAATATTTCCGATTTGATTATCAATCAACCGCAGACCAGTTAGTTGATGCAGATTCTTGAAGCTCTGATTGTCGAACGTGCGGATTTGATTCTCGCCCAGGTCAAGAGTTCGCAACATGGCCAAATCCTGCAGAGCACGAGGCACTTCATTCAACTGATTGGAACTCAGGTCCAGTTCCTTTAAGTCCGAACAGTTCTTGAACACAGCTGGCTCCACCACGCTAATGAGATTATTGTTCAGCGTCAGCTTGGACAGCACATACAGTCCATTGAACAGCTTATCGTCCAGTGTGTGCAGACGATTCTCGGCAAGATTGAGGGTGTGCAGATTGTACAGGGGCAGGAAGGCATTATCCTCGATGTGTCCGATGGAGTTGTTGCGCAGATTCAGGATCTGCAGGAAATACAGCTCCTTGAAGGTGCGGTAATCGATGCGGGTCAATGCATTATGGGCCAGATTCAGCACAATCAGTCGGATCAACCCGGCGAACGTAGTGTTGTCCACGTGATTGGAGGTCAGCTGGTTCCCGGACAAGTCCACCACCAGCAACTGCTCCAGACGATGGAACAGTCCCTTGGGCAGCTCGTAGAGCTCGTTCTGCTGCAGATGAATCTCCCTCAGCTCCTTGGAGCCGGCGAAGAGACCTTCGGGCAGGGTCTCCAGGTGGTTATTACTCAGGTTCACTATCCGCAGGGAGGCCAATCCGGCCAGGGCCTCGCCGGACAGCTCGGAGAGATTGTTGTGCGCCAGATTGAGGTGCTGCAATCGTCGGAGTCGGGAAATTCCCCAGCTTTCGCTCACGGACCTCAGCTCATTGTGACTGGCATCCAGGATCTGGAGTTCACTGCCAGCACTTCCGGAACCCGCTCCGCAGTTCATGTCCGCGAAGCCCAGCTGCTCGGCGGTGCGAATGCGATTGCGGGTGAGATTCAGCACCTGGAGATTGCCCACCGGACAGAGGAATCCTGCGGGCAGTTGACGCAGATTATTGTCACTCAGATCCAGGTCGGTGAGTTGCTTCAAGCCGCCCAGGGAGTCGGGGAAGAGCTCCAGGGCCCTCGTCGGTCCCCATTCGCTGTTGTGGGTGCTCAAGCGCAGGGACTTCAAGGTGGCCAGGCCCTCAAAAGCGTTATTGGGCAGCTGTAGCAGTTTGCAGGAGTCCAGGCGCAGACCCTCCAGAGTCTGCAATCTGGCAAAAACGGCCACCGGCAGCGAGGACTCGAAGAGGTAGAGCTCGCTGCACTGGATGGTCAGCTGGCTGCTGCCATCGGCGCCCTGGAGATCGAGTCCCGGCTGGCGCTCGATCAGGCGGAGGGCGCAGTGCACCGAACTGGTGCCGTTGTAGGACCAGGAGCACTGATTCGCCGGACCACTGTGCGCCGGGGAGGCCGGAACTGGCGAGGCTGCCGGCACGTTGGACAGCAGCGAGGAGTAGTCGCCGGATAGTGACACTGTGGCCGCGGCTCCTGTTCCGGCGCCCAACATGGCACTGGCACTCGATTCGCCACTCTCCTTGGGCGCCAGGGCAGCTCCGGCTAGGGAACTCCAGGATAACCCAACCAGGAGCAGCAGGATCGCCGCCATAATTGGGTACTTTCGTTTGGGGGTTAAGGGTTTCTCTGACGAGGGTGTAGTTGTTCGCGTTTTTAGGTTTGGATTTCTCACTCTTGGTCACTGCGAATTGACATTTTTTTCTTGTATGCTGGCCACTGTTTCACTAAGCGCACATTTTATTCTGGGTGTATTTTCACGGCTCTCGGGCGGCGCTATAGCAATAATTTCTCTTTCACTTGTTCAGGCCTTGTGTTTCTCTCTGCTGTTAGACTTTTTATTGTTAACTCTGCGAAATTGGCGAATTGAATTGTGCGTGGCCCACACGTCCGAACCGTACGGCGCTCGCACTCGAACTGTTTTCAGGTCCGCCAGCCACTGGCGGTTGAGCCTCGAGTTTTGAGTTCGCCAAGCAGAGTATCTCGCGGATGGCAAAGTATCTCGCGGATACGAATCCCAACGGTTGAGCCGAGTGATTGCGCATGAGTGCTGCTCTCCGGCTCTCTGGTCTCCCACAAAGAGAGTATTTGTAGTTACATTCTCAGCCGCTTCGGGGCAAAATGGCGCCACTGTTCCCGAGAGAATTGCAGAAAGAGAGCGAGAGAAGGCTTGAGTGAAAGAGAAACGTTTGAGTGAGAGTCGCTGTTTGAATTTGTGAATCAAACGTAAACATTGACAACGAACAAATAGAACTTGAAATTCAATTGGGAATAAAATTGACTTTGTCAATAGGCAGTAATCACATAAATTAGGAATTAGTGAAAAATGTACTAATTAAAACATTTGATGACTTTTTTAATTTTTCTTCTTATTTTGTTTAAGGTGTTGTATTTTGGCTATATTATTATGCTTAATCTATTAACTATGATTTATCTTTTATGTGAATTCGTTAATCTTTTATGGTAATTTGTATTATATATTATTGGTTTTATCCTTTAATGCCTATGTCTAGAACGTAGTAATTATATCTAATGTTTGGAATTAAAGTTTATTATTTTAGATCAAATTTGTATAATGGCGAGCAATCAATTATATGTAAGGAAAATATAACAATATAACATTGTAAATATTGAACAAATATTATAATCTTATACGTATATATATTTTATACTTTAAAGTATTTTATATTCTAATCTATTCTGAACACGGTTTAGGGTAGGATATGGAGTTTTAAATAATTAAAGGATTAAAGTGTTTTATTTTCCTAACCAGTTTCATAAGAATCTTAAATATTAACAAAACAATCTTTACCGTGAAACTTCCAAAACTATTTAAATTCCTGACTCTTGTTTATTGTGCTCTTGCTCTGGGACTTATTCATTCAATCTGTTGTATCTCGCACCGAAAACCCTCCTCTCTTTCACTCAATAGTTAAGCCATGGACTCTCGCCGAGCCAGAACCACTCCCCTGCCCTTCGATACCCTCCTCAATCCACCGAGATTGTTATTGTTACCATTAACTCACACGCGCCGACAACAACAGCCAACGCCGCATGCATATCCGTCGGATACTTTCCCAGCGTTCTGCATCTCACAACTCGCATCTCACAACTCGCATCTCGGCATCTTCTAATTGCCGCAGCTGCAGCAGATAATCAAGCAGCCGCAGAAGAGGCAGCCTGCCATGCGATTTTGTCAACGCTAAAAGATGTTTAACACATTGCCCCGATCTTTGGACTGGATGGATATCCACTATCCGAAAGATGCATCTAAATATAGAGTTCGATTGTTTAGACAGAGGCAAGCCGTGACTGCAGTTTTTGTTTAGACGATTCACGGGGATACTTGGGCAGGGTGGAAGGCCAAGGCCGATTGGCCGAAGTTTTCGAGTGGCGAGTGAATCATTTGCCACCTCTGGAGTTGCGTACGCAAAATGTAATATTTATGAATGCTGCCCCACCACCCATAAAACATTCTTTTCGGGCCCCGAACTTTTGTTTGTATGTGGAAGTTTCTCTAATGCATTTATTATTCATAAGAACTTTTTCATTACGAAGCTGGGGCGGCACATGACTCCCAGTGCCGAAACAAATGTCCAAGGTGGTCGGTCGGTCGAGGCATGCCCCCAAAATCCCACCCCACATTCGAGATCCATCCGCAGTGACAAAGAAAGCGAATGTTACTAAGTTAGTACCTTCGTCTTGAGCTCCGACTTGACTCCCTGCGAAGACACCACACGCCACACACAACACACACCACACACAGCAGTGGCATTGTTTTTCCTAGGTGTCGGAAACTTGTTCAACTTGTTTTCATTTTACTATTTTTCCACATCTCCTCGGCTCAGTGTGTGAATGCTGGGAAGCTAAAATAGCAGCACAAGTGTGTGAGTGGCTTTTGGGAATGCTGCAGGACACTTTGTTATCGACCAAGGACTGAGTCCTGTACTTACTGAGGTATTAACCCGAAAAGAAGTAGGAAAAGAACTCGTGAAGGGATAATATGACACCAAGGAAAATGTATTTAAAAATATGATACCAAAGCGTCACAACGATGTATCAAAACATATTAGTGGTTTGTTGTTAATTCAAAAAAATATTTAAGAAATTAAGCAATGAATCCTGAAATATATACAAATTCATACAAGAAAACAAAAATGTATTAAATAAAATAGTATTAGAAGACAACAAAAATTGATTATAAATTTTGTTTTCAATAAAATGGGGGTTTATCGATTTTAATTTTTTTGTAAGTAACAATTTTAAGCATAAACAAAATTATGATTATATTTATTATGCTCATATTCAAACAAACTGTATTCTAATCTGGTTCTATCGAATCTATTATTAGCAGCCTAAAACCATTTTTAAGAATTGGTTACCAATAGGAATTCTTAAAAAATTCATTTCGCTGTGTGTAACTATAATATGTGATAGTGTATGTTAAAGCAACAAAGAAAATAATCCCATATTATTCCAGGGTTATCAGGAAGTTCTTTAACTTATACAGGCGCTTATCTTCAGCGATGCCACCATGAAGTCATGTATCTGTCCCAGATGACTTAATGTCGAGGGCAATGTTCGGGATGTATTTATAATATTTATGCTTGCACCCCAAGGCAGAGGTTATCTCCCTGATATCTCTCAATTTCGAATATAGTATTTGGATTTATAGTGCGCATTTATGGCCACACAGTACATTTAAATATGCATTAAATTGCGTGATAAATTGTCAGTTGATTGTTAGGAGCTCACTCGCTGATGTATGCATAAATAATTAGAGAGCGACAATAAAATGAGTCGGCAAAGTTTAATTACTAAAGTGCGACCAGCGTGGCACAACTTTTCGATTAGTGCAGCAGCCAAAGTCGATTTCCATGGGCCATTCTGTTATCACAACCCGATGCAGGGTCGGTCCAAAGGGGGGGATATACGTCATCTGGGATGGGGAATGAGAGATGGCAATCCCAAACAAATTGTGAAATGGCAAATGCTGCACGAACCGATATAAAATATGCCGGCTGGACACAGGATTGCTGGCCAAAAGCTGAACTAAAAACAAATTTCTGGTGCCGCAACAGCAGCTGAAATTGACAGACAAGCTGGGGTGTGGAGGAATCCGGGATTTTTAGGGGGGAGGAGGGAAAAGGGATTCGAAGCGGTTACCGCACTGTGGAACACACAGCTTTGGCCCTTTTATTTTTGCGAACAGCCAGCCATCATGTGAGCCCCATCCGCACCGAATTGATGCAGCTTTGACAAAGGAAACTCCCCTTTGTCTCCTTTTTGTTCATTAACGGACTCGATTTCCAGGGCAAAAATGCAGCATGAAATGAAATCGCCCTGATTGATGAAATTCTCCAAATTGCATCTACTCGCCTTTATTGATGGGGTTTCCATGACAAACGCAACACATGACAACAAACTTTGTCCAGCAAGTTAATCGGATCAATGTTGGCCAAATGCAGGTCGTTATTCGGCTCGTTTGCTCTCAAATTGGAATTAGAATACGACCCATGCAAATGGCAGGCTTTAAAAGCGGAGCTATGTTATCGGATAAACCTGCAGATATGTATTAAAGGAAAACTAACAATTGAATTACGAACATCTGGCAACAGAGTTTGACACAATTTATAACAGCTTAACACCTTAACACTTTAACTAGTTGGTTAGTTAATAAAACAGATTATGTAGTTCATCATTAAATGTTTTGATGAAGTAGTAGGATGTGCTAAAATTCTCATGAATAATGGCCTTGCTGTTATTAATATAATAAGGTTTTGGGAAAAGCATTTAGGGCCACTGACTTATCAAAATTTGTTAAGCATTATTAAGCCGATACAACATATGTGAGGTCTTACTAATCAGTTTATATTAATAATTTAGAGTGTTTTGGGTGGCTTAGACCTTTAAGATTGCAAAGACCTGAGTTTTTTGAAATCTTAGAACCAAGTAAACTTTAAGTCAAATGTCTTGAGTCTATAAACTAAAACTACCCATACAAAGTGTCAGTGTGGTGGTGCAAAACTCAGTTTTGTTTGGACGATAACAGGATGGCTGGATCTGGGCAAGTTCCTCGCCAGCTGCCGACAAGTGTGAAGATTGGGGGGTCGCTGGGGAGTCCGCTGCTCACTTGTTTGGTGCTCCCATGATATAAATCGCACAGCTGAGCGGGCAGCATAATCGCATGCAATTATGCCGCACACAATCACAACGGGCCAACCAGCAAGAAGTTTGCAAAACTCGCCGGGCAACTCAACCGAACTCAACTCGGCTGGAAGTGGAAGTGGCAGTGCCAACAAGCTGGCACTAACAGGTGAGTGGGATGGGTTGGGCAGAAGACTCTGAATTGGCAGGAGGAGATTTAGCAGGAGGAGATTCAGCTGGAGGAGATTGGGGGGAGGTACTCCACTCCACTCCACTCCAATCGGGAACCAAACAATGCAGGCGAGCTGCAGTTTTTGCTGCCTCTGTTTTGTTTGTTGCACAATCTTGTCTAACTTTGTTTAGTCATCGCCCGGGTTTGGTTCCTCTGGTTCAGGTTCTGAGCCAGTTTTCCACCTTCTGTTGACTTTCGCCTCCTCATCCTCATCCATATCCTCGTCCTGGTTTTCTGCCTGATTTTTGAGGCCGCGTTTGCTTGGCCATATTTTGTTTCTTGTGCCGCTTCCCTTTTGCTCTCGATGATTGCAACTGGCTGCACAAGCGCAGCGCCTCGTGTGCAGTTTTGATCTATTGATTGTTTTGGCCATGCCGCCATGCAAAGCCATGCATTCCGCCTCCTCATCCGCCTCCGCCTCCGAATCATGGCCACTCCAATCCCCGGTCTCCAGCGTAAGCAAATATTGCATTTTGCGTTTTCCAATTAAACTTGAACAAGCGCCGAGCAATCGAAGCCGGATTCGAAGCCTTTTGTCTCCGG